GCCAAACAGCCATTCAGCTTTGGGTTCATCGAGAGAGTCTGAGTCCCAGTTGCAGGGAATCTACCCCCCCCCAGCCCCAACCCCCCCGAACCGACATCCAAGAGGCTTGCATGCTGCTCCACTCATACTCCTGAAGGGATGCTTCAATGGAATTTTGTTGGAGCTTCTTTCTTTGCCGCATCTTAACGCCAACCCAAACCAGTTCGAGTGGTCCCTGGGCAGCAAATGTCCATTTCCACCTGAGGCCAAGCCACGGAAAACCAAGATGCGCTAGGCACTATGCGCAACCCTCACCCATGACACGGCTGCTATGCTTGTTCCTCCAAAAGGCCGTGGACAGCGGGAGGCGGCGCCTTTGATTTCGTACATGGGCCACCCTCCATTGAGTTGCGCAACTGGGCCATGTTCTCCGTATCGTCGTATAAACAGCGTCGAACATTGGAACACGGAACAAGGGTCAGCTTACTGTAGACGAAATCCTGAACTAGTTGGTACGGATGACACAAGGAGTCCGCTTTTCTGCTCTAATTCCAAAGTTGAATTAAGGGATCCCCAAGTAAAGGACCTTTCTGGTGAGCTCGTTGCAACCCCAGGTGAGCTCGCCAAAACAATGGATCCACATGGATCCACCTTGGTCCACCTTGGTCCACGGGTCCTCTTTGGACATTTGGAAGTTCAGCGTGGCGCGGCGCCGCAGCTTTGGCAGGGCCCAAAGGCAGGCTTCGCTGCCCAGAGTCCGATGCATCTCCCCCAGCTGGCCTCAAGTCGCATGAGCCGTTCAGGCGAACCTCTCGGCGGCTACACCCCGTTCATTTGTTGCAGCAAACCCGCCTGCCGAACATGGCACCGATGGCAGGAAACTCATGATTGGTCTGGCCGTTTTTGAATCTGCCTCAAGTGCGGCAGCTTTTGATGTTGGTATCCTCTCGTTTTGGGGGGTGTCCTCCAAAACGGGGGCATCTCGCAAAGCTCGCAAGCAGTATCCTGCTTTAGGACTTGGCAAGAGTGATTGAGACGTCCGTCAATCTGGGCGGTACCCCTAGCAAAACGGGATCTCTTCACTACATAGGGCCCCATTTGATCAATCCGGGGGTCATTACGCAGTACATCCGCTGCCGAGGGAAAGCATTGGTCGGCCAGTTCGGCTGGACACAGCCGATCCCGGCCATTGAAAAGATAGCTGCCAAGCAGGCCTGGAGGCAAAAGGGGATGTGTCACTGAATAGCTACAGGGGTCACTGGAATTCGGGCGGTTGGAACGGAGAGGCTGTCGAATCTCATTTCGCAGGGGTCTTTGCACACCAGATCTTTGAGCATGTGGGGATGTTTCACATGTGCAACAGACAACACTGCTGCAATCTATTGTCCATTCCGCAAAGAGGAGGGGGACTACAGAGAAAATCGAGCCATTTGCAGTTGGAATTCACCAGTGGTTTCCATTTAAAAAAACTGCCACGGTTGGAGGTTCCAAAAAGGGAAACGGCCTGTAGCTATGCTGCTCGTGCAACCCAGCGGCGGATCATGTCCTTGGTGGCATCAAGCTCAAGGGGCCTTCGTCAATACCAGGGCCCTTTCTTAGGGTGCTCGCGTATGCTTCTTGAAACCCAGGCTTCTCTGTATCCTGGGGAACCAGCGGAGCCGCAGTAACAGAGACACTTGCCGAGCTTCTGATGCCGTGGTTTGCGGCACGTCCAGGCAAGAATCCTCCTGCAAGTCTGATGCAGGACCGCTGCTGAATAGCATCAGGTGAAACAAAAGGCCACTCCACGCCGCAGCAAAGGTTCTTAGAACCTTGCCGGGGGTGGGGGGGGCAGGGCTTCTGCAAATCCCTCCCACTAAGCAAAAACTCAGGGAAACAAATGCACACCACAGCCTACCTTTTGCGAAGTGCATACTACAGGGAAACTCCGGGCCTATACCGAGGGGCCAAGCGATTTCGCTGAAACTTCCTGTCAGGGCCCATCTTAAAGATGTGGACTCACTAGGCAAAGCCAGCTGAGGGCACTTCTAGCAAGTGAGGTCGTTTCAGCTACGAGGCTGCTTCTTCCTGTGAACCTGCATTTATGCACACACAAGTCCTTCTATCGACATGTCTACACATCTACAAACTTATATAGACTCTTTTTGTGCAATCATTTTGGATATTATGATATGCATACTAGACAAATATGCATATGTAAACCTTATATATACATATATATATATATGTATGTATGTATGTGGATATATATATATATACATATATATACATATATATATATATATATATTATTATTATTATTATTATTATTTTTATTATTATTATTATTATTATTATTATTATATATATATATACACATATATATCTATATATGTATATCTGGCTGTGGATCGAAAAACCGGTACCCAAATGGAACCCTGGTAAGTGGAAACATGGACCAAAACCTGCGTAACCCCTCCTCTTTTTTTATTATGCGCGTGTCATACATGCATATGCTTACACACACTATTCGCGACAGTCCTGTGCAGCCTTGCGCGAGGCAAACCCGCGGCAGCGCGAGGCCTCGAATTCCACGATGAACTCGGGTGCCGCGTTGGCACCTCGTGCTGGGGTACACGCCCCGAAAGGCCGGGGCTTCCTGTTTCTAGAGCCATCCCAAAAAAGGCACCAAGCCCACTAACATAGCATTTGTGGGAGGTACCTGGAAGATCGTTTTTTTCGAGGGACCCTCTGTCAGGTGCTATGTTGATACGCTCAAAAAGCGTACACCCATGAAGATACCTTCGGGATTCCTTGATTCAAGCTGGTGGTTTGGCTACGTACAATCCGGGGCGCCAAATGCGCAAAAGGGCGCCCGAAAGGAGATTCTACACATGGGCTTTGGGTTCGACGGGTCGCAGTGACTCTGTGGGGAAGCCAGTGCAAACCTCAAGGCTTGCAAGGGACAACCAGCCCCCTTGCGTCCTGAAGCATGCCCGAAAAGGAACAATTGTAAATACAACCCACAGGGGCATGTCTCCAAAATCCACAAAGCAGGCCCGGTTCCACAAGAAGTAATTACCATCAACAAGCGACACGCCCGATGAAGATGTGCCACCGAAAGGACACAGCCATTGACAAGGACCGGCATGATACCAACCGTCATGGGTACTGCGCACAGGGGGCCGCACATGCCAAACTGTTTGGGGGGAAAGCTGGCGGCGAGTTCCAGGAAATTTCAACATATCGCCTTCTGCGAGCTTGTCTGGTCCACTGAGGCATTGGCGGTGCCGCCTTACAAATGCATCAGAAGTGATCACCATCACCAGCGGCCATTTCGGAATCAGCTTCGTCCTGTCTTGCCTGCGTGGAGCAACACTGCGCCGGCAAACAGACTAAGAACGACAGAAACGACATTGTAGTCGACATCGTGTATCATTGCGATCCTTGTTCATCCTGAATTTGAGCGAAGTGAACTTCTCTGTGTTGAAGTCAGTCACTGCAGGTGCCGCTTCAATCTTCGGGTCGCCCCAAGGACCCTGGAGAAACAACGGGCCAAGGACAAATTGAAGGAAACCATACAATCCACACTGTGGATGGACGAAATCCATTTTGCACCACTTTGAGACCATGCTTGAAAACCATTGGTATTTGCCGGGCAATCATCAGAACCGCCGGGTTTCTGGGGTGGTGTCAACTTGGCTCTCGGAAGGCTTCGGGGCGCCTGTCCGCCGCCGCAAGGCAGCTGCTGGAGCAAACGCGGAGCGCCGCGAAAGCGCTCAGGTGGCAGGCGTCAAGCAAGGCCTCGCGGCGCAAAGGCACTGCGCCGTGGAGTCGTGGCCACTCCCAGGTGACCTCCTGGTGAGGGGTCCATGACTATCCCTACCAGCTGATCCGCAAAACTGGGCCTATGGCGAAAAAACAATGGGCTGTTGGCACCAAGCAACATGTCAAACGCCCATTCAAGCAGGGAGGACACTTGTGGCGCCTCGAATGCCGGGCCAGTTGTAATCTTCGACCTGGCGCGAAAATCGCGGAGGCTCGAGCACCCCCGGCCGGATCGAGCAAGTGTTCTGTTCTTGAAAGCCCCTTCCGGTAGCTTCAAAGGCGAGGCGGGGTGCCATTGGAGCTTCCAACTGCTTCTGACTGCTTGCAGGCAATCCCATAGCGACCGCCAGCAGACCCAAGTAGCCATGAGAACAAAGTGCACCTTTTGTTGGGAGTGGATTTCAAAGGGAGGGCCCTTGAAAAGGAACACATGGGCGAATCAGGTGCTCTGGGATAAAAACAATCCTGAAATGGTGGACTGCGACGCGGATCCTGAGCTGGGCACGGGACGCTTTCCTCTTCTCTCGAAGTAGGACACATCCTGCGGAGGCAAAGGTCCCGATTCATTTTAACCCATCGTTCTGTCATTGAAGGGACAATGTTGGTGGCTTGAAATTATGGGCATCACATCGTTGCCTGGTGCTTTGAACTCAGTGGGAAAAGTGTTGGGCCCTTCCCCCTTGCGGGAGGATATTTCATCAGGATGCTTTGATGCTTGGGGCTAGGGAACATAGAAGAATACACCTGCAGCATCCCGAGGGTCCCTGTGAGATGCTTCATGTTCATGCGTTTTCTCGCTGGGGAGGACTTTGAAGGGGTGGTTTTGGAACGGTAAGATTGGTGACAGCTGACACGGACATGGGCGAAATTCGCCCCGAAGAGTTCCCAGACTTCTTCTCGGAACGGGGTCTGAGAGCCTTTCCTGGGCCTTTGGTTTCCTCGGAAGCCCCCGCGAGCCGCAAAGGCGCCTGACGGACGGTGAGGAACCACGCGGCTCCGACCCGAAATTGAAACCTACGGGCTTGAGCCGATCCGCGTGACGTGCGGACAGCCCCTGCAGACGCCTTGGAACGTCACGGTTCAAGGCGCCACAAGAAGACTCAATGACATCTGGTCCAAAAGGTGAGGGTTCAAACTACCCGGACCCCTGCAAAAGGCCCACGCCAAGATGGGCCAAGGTGCGGTCAAGTCCATTGCCCTTCTGGGGCCCAAGCTGCTGTGCAAGCACCACCTGGCCCAAGTCTGGGGAACTTTGAAGTGGGCAAAGAGGCCGCCAACACACGCACACACACACACACTGGTGGGAAGGGAACCATGGTCACCCGCTCTCCCAACTACAATGCTCCACCGGCAAGAAGAAACCTCTAGTTGCCAACACGGGCTGTCTAACCTCTTGGAGACTAGCCCTTTTTTGCCTTTGAGAGAAGCTTGGGCTCGGAGGGTTCAACTCCTCAACTGTAACTTTTGATGGGCATGGCAAGTTCACATGGGACCCCAAAAGGAGGGCTCCCCCAAAAGGAGGGCTCCCCCGGCTTCGGAGAACGCAAGGAGGGCTCCCTCCAAAAGGAGGGAAGACTGGGCGCTTCTCTTGAGAGCGGACCGCCTTCATGCCCTGACTGGTGTCCAAGGGCGGCTGGTCGAACTGCACGCCTGCCGGCTGGGCTTCGAGGGATGCTGCAAACACGGTGGTCTTGGAATGAGCTCGACCCTCGAAATGGGCTGGCGCCCCTTAAGAAGTTGCCGATAAAACTAGCAAAGGACGAAATCCACAAGAGTTTTCTTAACCAACAAAGAGTGTGGCAAAGTTGCCGCGCGGTCCACATACCCTGCCCGCATCTTGCAAAAAACAAAAAACAAAA